TTCACATAACAATGCAGTACAGTAAACGGTCATAGTCCATTCAAAGTCCTCTATGGATATAATCCCGAATTCACAATATCTCCGAACTCCACATCCCTTATTCCTGCCGCCAATGAGGAGAGCAGATCAGATGAGAGAAGCAAGAGATGATGCGGAAAACACTCTAAGATAGTCAATGAACGCCATGAAACATTTCTATGACCGAGGAGTTAAAGACGCACCTCAGTATCAAAAGGGAGACAAGGTCTGGCTAGACGCAAAGAACATTAACAATGGTCGTCCAAGTCAAAAGTTGTCAGATCGTCGTCTTGGGCCCTTTGAAATACTAGAGAAGACCGGCAAAGTGAACTACAAATTGAAATTGCCAGAAAGCTATAAGATTCACCCGGTTTTCCATGTAGAATTGCTTACTCCATATTATGCATCTCAAATGATCCCTCATTCTCAACCCACCCGACCACCTCCAGACATTGTTGACGATCAGGAAGAATTTGTCGTAGAAGAAGTATTAGATAGCCAACATTCCGAAGAAAAAGTGCAATACCCAAATAAAATAGGAAGGATATCCAATAGAAGAGTCGACATGGGAACCAGAAGAGAAAATGTTAAAAACTCCCCGATTCTGATTGTGGAATTCCCATAAGAAAAATCCCATGGCTGCTAAATCCAAACGAATTCTTGGATCTATTTTAGATACGGATGCATTCAAACAATGGAGAGAGAAAAAACATCCGACCATCCTACGTTCGCGATGACGCTCACCCTAGAGAGGGGTGGTAATGTCACGAATTCCAATACGAACCATTATTTTTTCTTAAACACTCGTAAGACACACAATAAGTGCCCGTCACAAGCGCCTGTCATTAGCACTCAATCAGCGTCCTGTACCCATAACCTTCACAAACCCTAACCCAAATTCATCCTTTACATTTCCGAACTTCTCTATTCCATTAGCGCCCACTACTTTCATCTCCGATATTCCTGATTCCGATTTCCTTTCACAAGCGATCAAGTCACATGATCCTAGAACCTTCAAGAATCCTTGCACAGCAATTACACGTTCCATGACATCATAGGTGTAGTTATATTTAGATCATCGTACAATTCCTTTCTATTTTAATGATTGGCTAGTTAGTTCAGATTCAGATTCAGCCTCCGTTTCAATATATGTATATAGGTAGCTCATTGTAGTCAGTAGTTCTTCAGTTCAAACCTCTTGTGTATTAGCTCATTGCTAGCAATCCAGGACGTACCTGCTATTCTTTATCCTCTCGTTGTGATAACCTTTGTTTGAGTCCTAGTCTCTGCCCCTGCGTTAATTCGTTATAAGGGTTGTGACAGCTCGCTGGACTGACGCTGACCAAGCGGATTGGGAAGCAGGATTAGCTCGGGTGACTGCGAGCGCGGGATTACCACTCCGATGGGTTGAAAACCCAGAGTGGTTGAAAGCTCTGTGATAGGTTTATTCCTCAAGCAAAGGTTCCATCAGCAAAGGTCCTACGAAGCGCGTCATGCCGCAAGTCCTTCATGGCATCAAGGTCACTGCAATAGAGGAATCTCACGGTGCAGTAGGAACCCTTCAGTGTGATGGCTGGACTGGTGAAAACAACCATCACTTAATTGGTTTTATGATGACGGTGAAACGAAAGGTAAGTATCACGCTGTTGTTTCACAATGTTTCCTGAAATTGTTTTGCCTTGCTACTAGCTGCATGCTGTGCGTGTTCATGACGCATCTGGCGACTCGCGTAATGCCAAAGAACTCCTCAAGCAGATCATTGAATCAATACACCGAGTTGAGAGCAAGTGGGGGGTAATCATTATTGCATGCACTACCGATGCATCTGGAGAGTCTTGTAAGGCTCGGCGACTCCTTCGTGCACAATTTCCACACTTTGTAACACCAGATTGTTTAGCTCATCAGGTGAGTTATTGATGCAGGAATTACCTTCACCTTTTTTTCAGTTTAACCTTATCATTGGTGATCTTTTCAAGGTGAAAGATGACTACGGGCATATGGCAATCTTGCGCAGGAACTGATCACATGGTTTTTGCAGTAAAACCCATGTTCTAGCTCTCCTCTGTGAATTGCAGATGTCAACTATCGGAAAGACCTTATCCATCATTCGCACAGTGCTCACTCGATGGCTATCACATTATTCAGCATACCGGCGACTCTTGGATGTTCGGCCAACATTAGAGCTGTTGATAACAAAGCACGAGGGCAGAAATTACGATCCACTGGGGATTCTCGGTCACAAGTGAAAACCTCAGCCACAATTGCGACCATCAAAAATGCAACATTTTGGCACGCAATGGCTCGGTATGGATTTCTTCATTTGTAGTGTTATTTTAGCTGATGCTGAACTTTAGATGGAAAAACCTTTTGGAGCCGATCGCCTTGATGATGAACATTCACCAAGCTGCACATGCAAAACCTGAGCATGTTCCAATTTCCTTTGGGTTTCTATACTATCGTTACTCGAAAATTGGTGACGACAGTGACCTTGTGGCTCGAAACGCAGTCCTTGAGAGTGCCAAGCACCGCTGGGCTCAAGCTGATCAAAAGTCTTTATTGCTTCAGTTATTGTTGACCCGCTTTACAAAGACAAACCCTTCAGCAACATTTCTCTGACAACCCGTGCGGGGCTAATGTCTCTCTTCAGTCGCCTCTGGAAACACTTTTACGGTGGGATGGCACCACTCAAACTTTTCACAGATCTCGATAACTATCTGAAAAGTTTGCCTGAATTCCAGCCACTCGATATATACACACAAATCTTACTATCTCGCGCAAAGCAACAGGTAATACTACTACTCGAGCTCGTGATTCTGTGTCTAACATATCTCCACTTCACAGGGCACATCAGTTGATCCTCTTGATATTTGGGACGGGTTTTCACACAGCAGCTCCGAAATCAGACCCCTCCAGAAAATCGCCCAGCGAATTCTCTCCATCTGTCCAAATTCAGCTTCATGCGAGCGTCTTTTCAGTATTTTCGGTGCAATCCTCACAAAGTGGCGGAATTGTCTCTCTACTCAGAATCTCATGCTGCTTGCAGAGTTGAAGATGTACCTCCATGAGGAACACGTTCGTGCAGGATCTGTCAGGAAACGCCTTACAGTGGCTCAAAAAACCGTCCGTATGTTTTGGCATTTTTCACTATCTATAATATTGTGTGAGAACAAACAAATGCCTCAAAAACATGCTTATACCACATTGTAGTATGGCTTCAGGGCTTTCATTTGAGCCCTACACCGTGGGAATCGGTGGAGATATGGTGGAGATACAAGGCTCACAAAATGGTGACTCATGCGGACAGTTTTTTGACTCAAGTATTTTACAGTAATAACCAGGTATTCTAGTATTTTGTATGACCTCCCTTGGCTTTAATTACTGCCTCTATCCTTCTAGGCATACTCTCAATTAATTTCTGGCAATCCTCAGCTGTGATCTTCCCCCATTCCACTGCTACTCTCTCCCAAAGCTCCCATACTCCTTTAGGGGGGTTTTCATAGGCTTGAAGCTTTTTCTTGAGTGTTCCCCAGAGATGTTCGATGACATTGACATCAGGAGACTGTGCTGGCCAGTCAAGAACATTGATGTTATGTTCTTCAAACCATTCCCTAGCTCTTCTGGATGTGTGCTTGGGATCATTATCCTGTTGGAAAATGATATCTTCTTTATCAATCCCTGATTCTGCCAAGCTAGGCAGCAAGTGGTCATTTAAAATGTCCACATACTGCTCAGCATTCATCTTCCTCTCAACCTCAGCAAGCATTCCCACACCATTCCATCCCATACAGCCCCATACCATTAAAGAACCTCCTCCAAACTTGACAGTCCCATTAATCTCTCTGTCTGTTAGGCCATCTCCCTTCTTTTTCCATACATACACCTTCCCATCTGACCCAATCCTATTGATTTTGGTCTCATCTGACCATATAACATGCTTCCAGTCCTCTACAGTCCAGTGTTGATGAGCTAAGGCAAAGGCTAGTCTTCTCTGCCTATGTTTGATGGAGAGAAGAGGCTTTTTCTTCTTTGTTACTGCCTTGAGATGAGCTGCCTTGAGAACATTCCTCACAGTTTGTGAAGAGACAGGGGTAGTGATGGTGGAATTGATATAATGGGTGGCTTGGACAGCATTATCAGCCTTTCCTGTAGTGATATGTTGGATAATAGCCCTTTTGTCAGTAGAGGTAAGCTTGGATGGACGTCCTCCACAAGAGTTTTCCTTGTCTGGGTGGCTTTCTTTGATGAACTTGGCCACAGTGGACTTGCATATTCCAGTTCTAGAGGAAATTTGGCGAGCAGAGAGGCCAGCATAAGACAGAGAGAGGATATTATCTCTTTGAGCAGAGGAGATGGCTTTCATGGTGATTATGACTATGATACATGAGATATTCTGGTTTATATAGTTAGATATAGTCATAAAATAACATAATGACACCACTTTATAATTTATATAATAGTGGCATGATTTTTATGGTGTCATAAATAATGATTTATATAGTTTTAATATACACTCAAAAACTGTCCACATGAGTCATCATTTTATAAGCCTTATATCTCCACCATATCTCCGCCGATTCCCACGGTGTAGGGCTCAAATAAAAGCCCTGAAGCCATACTACAATGTGGTATAAGTATGTCCTTGAGGAATTTGTTCATTCTCACACAATATCATAGATAGTGAAAAATGTCAAAACATGCGGACAGTTTTTTGAGCCACTGTAAATGGCGTTTCTGTGAGAACACGACAGGCAACTTGGCCAATGATCAGTCGCCGGGAGAATCTTCTCGTGTTGCAGCCATTGCTGCAACTGCAGAGGATGGTATAGATGCCCTCAATGATCCTCAACAGACATGCAGTGGAGCTCGTGAGCACAGAGGACTGCGACAAATTGCTGCGCACCTCATTCAAGTTGTCGAAGATGACGAGGCATTCACAACATCCGAGATGATGGAGGCCGCTGCTAATCCTTCCGATTTTCAGCGCATTCCCATCAAAGATCTCTTCAATTTTTCTCGTGCTCAAGCCCAGTGAGAACCGGACCTCACCGTATCAACGGAAAACGGCCAAAATATTGATGAACCAGGAACACAAGATTTCCGTAGATTTCCGTAGAGAATGGGACATATATGAGATTTTCTAGCGATGCTGTTCGACGGAGATCTCACGATTTCGCGCTGATTCTCGCATATGATATCTCCATCGATGATCGTAGATTATCAACTGTACATGTAGTCGTACCAGGCAATAAAACTATGGAAATCGCACAAAAACGACGCTGATATGTATTGCAAGAACAAGCAAATGACAGCGCAAAAATGATAGCTGGTTGATACTGCCCTTGGCACCTGCTGCCCACCCCTGGTCCTCACCTGTTGCCTGCCTGATGTCAACCTCTGCACCTGCGCTAGATGTCGACCGTGTTGCTGTTCCATTCAGATTCATATGCCTGCAAACATAAATTAATGCCGTGAAATAATAACTACCTGCTACCCACCTGCTCCGCTGCAACTGTGCTAGATGTCAACTAATATATTAGGCGTCGGATGAGAATTTGCTGATGTCATTGATCGTGTCGCAAGTTCATATAAGCCTAAAGTCAGATGTTGCTGGAAGTTCTAGTCTTCTAGATTGACATACCTCCTATTTGTTCGAAATACTAGATGTAGGTGATGCACAGGCACAGACAACAAGGATGCAGTGTTTAGGGTGGCATGGTAGACCAGGGACAGTGGATACTGGGGGCTTCGGGTCAGACTCAGTGATGCATGTTCATTCAGAAAGCTTTGTGCTGCGTGTACCAAGTCAGCACTATCTTGCACTTAGGGAAGAGATTCATGCGCATATATGCGCTATAATAGATGTTTCAGCGAACATTCGAAACGAGTTAGGCATATGCGAGTCACTTACTGATTTGCGAGCCAGGCCGTGCGGGGAAACAGGCCGCATAGGATAGTATCCTAGAAAACATCTCGAATTAGGGTTATCGAAAATACCAAAGTCGGAGAAGATACACACAGGGAGCTTTACCACCGCTCATCCAAAAACACCATCAATTTGAGGCCTGTCTGGTCCAACGACTACTGTAAACGAGAATATGACAGGCCCCAGGGTGCTTCCAAAAGTAAGGAAATGGGAGAGGCTCCTGAACTAGACATCGTCATGATTTGAGGGAGAAAGATGGTGGACTTAGTGAGAATGTCGGAGTCTTGCTTAAGTTTGTGCAATCGATCATTTCATATACGCTTACCAAGTCAAAAGCAGCACGAACGAGTAATTCACGTCATGTTGATTGATTAATATGTCTGCAAATGTGCAAGACATCGACAAAATGGTGTGTTTTGCGTTGTGTTGATCAAACATAACGCACGTCATCTTTCTAAATATATGTGAAATTCACGATTTGCGTAGCTTTGAGCATATTTGTGAATATATCCGTCGTTTTCCATTGATATGGTGAGGTCCGGTTCTCACTGGGGCTCAAGAATGGCTAGGGTCATTCTATCAAACAGCCATCCGAGGCTTGGATGCCGAGATCGAGCTATACGAACTATTAGATTTGGACGCTGAGGGTATTGATGACCCAGAATTCCCGCAGGCGGATGAGATTTTGGATGATTAGAACTCGTACAACAAATTCGTGCTTACTAGGCAGGCCGTAGCCAATCAGATTTGATTATATAATGTTTTCCCTCGGACTCCTGGTACTAGTACTATTCACGTTCACCTGTGGACATGGAGACGTTCATTGGTGAATGTTCACTGACTTTGGCAAACGTTCAGCGACCGGCAGAACACTGCATCAAGTCCAACTCTAACAATCCACAGGCGAGTCAGTTGTCCCCAACACCAGCACCAACGCCCCCACCCACAGCCACGACATCAACTCCCACCTCCGGCACCACTCCTACCGGAACACCGCTACTCTCCTCATCGTCATCCCCCAAGTTCACCCTCAAAGCCCCACTTCTACCCCTCAGCAGCGACGTCGCTCTCACCTTCACGCCCAGGAACTACGCTCACGTACCACTTTGTCACGCCACACCTCGCATTGCTGGCACTCCTTCCGACGATGGTGTATTATATGCGCAGGGATTTAGTGGAGTGGAATGTTGTGTGGTTTAGGGAGGGCATTAGGGAGATATGGAAATCTGGGCTGCACGGGGGTTCGGAGCCTCAACGTTAAGCACATCAAGAAGGAAACTGCTTCACAAGACTTCCTCAGCCCTTTTCACTTAGCTCGTCCTCGATTTGCGATGATTCTGTGTCCCTTGCTTTCTTTATTGTCTCATCATTGGTGCCTTGGACGGCCATCTGTCAGACTTGAACCCCAGTGAAAACTGGACATGGCCAGAACCGTTGAGATAGTGTAGAATATTGTTTAGACATATTATTTATCCTGTAATATGGTATAATCTTCAACGACGTCATCGTCTGTGTGTCACATCAACATCGCATTGTAAAAGCATTGCATCACATCATAAAAGCATTGCATTGCATCACAAAAACGTTACATTGCTTACTTGTAGCGCATTGCTTTCACTCGACAACTCGATCACATGCACGCCATTTACATTCACGCGCACACCATTTACATTCACGCGCACACATTACCCTCATCACCCAAAGTACATCCCATTGTAATATCACCGGTTCTACCCATCTTGCTTCATAACTCTATTTGGTGTAAACCGGGGGGCAAAAGGCATAAATAGGAGGAACTGGCAGAGCGAAGGGGTGAAAATTGGTATGTTTGATTCAGGATCTTATCTGAGTCGAGGTTCTCATCATTTGGTGCAGCGCAGCGTATCCTCAGCTACCCGAGGCTCCCTCTCTACTATCTACCAAACTGATCACTTGCCGATAAAATTGTAAGTTTCATTCTCGTAGTATCTTCTAGCTTATAATATAGTGTATCAGCCTACCTATGCCAGTGGACTACACTTGTGTCTGCAAGAGACACAACGGTGGTCGTCCCCATTCTGTCTCTCGTGCTGCGTGGTACAAACACTTGCAAGCAGCTGAAACCAAGGAAGACAGGGCCGCCATTCGTGCTGGGAATCTCTCCCTTGACTTACATGCACAGATTCAGGCTCACGCTCATGACCTCGGCAAATCTTCTTCAAGCTCTGGCCCTTCTCGAAATGCCGGTGTGGGTAACACAACAAAGGTGAACGCAAGTCAGATGACAAGCAAACACTCTCTATGTTGGGTCTTGATATGCCGTGCGATATGTTCGACCCTTAAGGGAAGCAAAGAAAGCAAGGATCCACGAAATGATGCTAATCAACCCTGATCAAAGGCGACAAAAGGGCGATGTAAGCGCGAGAAACGCGCTCAAGGCGCGCGCGGGAAAGTGAAACGCGAAAAATGCGCGAAGTGCGGGAAGGCGAAAGTGCGAAAGGGCGAAAATGCGCGGAGAACAGGGATGGTAGTGCGAGCAGCGCACAAGTGTAGAGAGACGATAATATGGTGAAAAGCGCGGATATAGATGGATACTGATACTGCCACTAGCTTTAGACTGATGCTAGGGCCTTAAGACGACGACGGACGCATGCATTGCATGGAACTAACTGCCAAGTACATGGTGGTAGAAAGATGTGGTAGGTAGCTGTGGTAGGAAGCTGTCGTGTAAAACGAACATGAAAGTATGTAAGTTCTACCTAAGCGCTCTCCCAGGGCTCGGAGCCGAATAGGGAGCGCTCTAAGTATGTAAGTGAGGTAAAGTGATGTAAAGTAAGGGTGCATAACAAAATACAAAGTGTAATAGGCTAAATATGGTCTGATAACGAAAAGGGACACCTAGGAACTGGTTGGATGATGGATGGATGCTCCTGGATGATGCGCGATGGAGTGTGCTTAAGCGCGCGCGCGGGAACGCGAAACGCGAAAGCGTGAGAAAGTGTTGCGCCTATGGTGCGCTTTGCAGGAGAGCTGTGCATTGTATGCGCAAATGACTGGAGACATAGCAGAAGTTGCGTATGGAGTAGGGCGACAAGTGCGAGAGAAATGTGCTAAGTGCGCGCGGGAATGCTGCGCGTTGTGTGGGAAAGTAGCGCGCCTATGGCGCATTTCGTGGGAAAGCTGCGCGTTGTGTGTGGAATGACCAGAAACAAGATAGAAGTCGCATACGGATGATGGTGCGAGTCGTGCAGTAAAGGCCAGTTGCCAGAATTCGTAAGATGAGCCCATATGAGCCCACAGAAACGCGAGTCTCTACACCGGAATCAACACATCAAGTGGCCTGTCAAAAAGACCCCAGCGACTCTGAGGTAGCCCAAGGGAGTTGGAAGCGCATACGAGAAGGCCACCAGGATGTCCTATTATCTCCAGGTGAAGGGCATCGCAGCCGAGTTGACGAAGAAGACCTCACCATCAGAGACGACAACTTTGAAGAGCAAGGGGAGGGATATGATAATTCTGATGGACAGGTGATGGGCAAGATCGCGACTTTGATAGGCAGGGCGATGGGCAAGATCACGACTTCGATGGGCAGGGCGATGGAAGATTTCATGTTCAGGGACTTAGAAACGAAGATTTCGGTGCACAAGGAGAGAACAACCTACCGGACCCGCCTGACCGCCAACCTAACATTCAGAGAGAACAACCAGTCATAAGATATCGAGGAACTTGCACACGAGTGGTTCTTGAAAAGATCAAAACAACTATGGAGTTCATTCTAGCACTGCGGTCTGCATCATTAGATGACCCTGTTGCGAAACTTGATGAAGAGGCCAGAAGTATTTGCGGAACCCCCCTCGCGAACCTCCAGACATCATCAATCCCATCATTCGCCATTCAATTTCAACTTATTATGCCCTCGAACACTCGGCACAGACTGCTTATGAACGGATTCGTGCTTCGAC